AAAATGAAACAAAACAAAAAAAGGAAGAAGAGAAAAGAAAAAGAAAACTCAAGGCCAGCCTGTGTTGGAGACCCTATCTAAAACAAACAAACAAAATCCATGTGGACCATGATGGAAGCCAACATATTCACACCTATGTTTCAGATCGAAGTCTGACTAACAGCAGACCCTCAGTTAAAAGCAAAAAGCTTTTCCCAGTGAACCCAGGAGTCTTCATTCTCTGTTTCCAGAGCCAACAATCAAAATTCACCCCACCACGTGCACATGGCATGCGGTCTCCAAGTTCTATGCCAAAGTCCAGCACACAGTTCTCATGCACAGCCTTGGGCCAGCGCTCCAGAACTGGATCATTGTTCCTGGTCAGCCGAGTCCACGGCAGGCAGAAGTCTGGGAGTTTTAGCTGGAAGAGAAGAATGCTTTTGGAAGAGAGGCTTTGAGGACACGGCCTCACCTCTTTGTAGAGTCTAAAAAGCCTGATGGTGCGATGTGCGAGACTCTCATCTCAGGATACAGATGCAACTCAGTTCAGACCTGACTTCGTTTCTTTTCTTTTTTGGGGAGAGGGTGGGTGACATTGAGACAAGGTCTTACCATGTAGTCTTGGATGGCCTGAAACTCACTCTGTAGACCAAACTGGCCTTGAACTCACAGAGATCCACTTGCCTCTGCCTCCTGAGTGTTGGGATTAGAGGCGTGCACCAGCCACCACATACTAGGCTTCTTTGTTTTCTTGTTTGGAAGCAGAGTCTCATGTATCCCACCCAGGCTAGCTTCAAAAGTTCTATAAGTGAGTGTGAACTTCTGGTCCTCCTGCCTGCTCCTCCAGAATGCTAGGGTTACAGGTCTGCGCCAGCATGCCCACCTTGATGTAACACTGAGAATGGAACCCAGGACCTCTCGCATGCTAGGCAAGCAAGCGCTCCACCAACTGAACTACATTGCCCAGCTCCTAAGTTAGTTTCTAATTTTCGAACCAAAGTGAACTGTAGGGGATATGAATTTCATCTTGGTGCCAAAAGACCAGAAAAAAGAAAAGTTGGATTCACTGGCTCCGGCAGAAGACAGAGGTCTATGTTCATTTTTGTATCTTCTTTTGTGCAGAAGCCTGTGGATAATGGACAAAGGAGGACAGAGCAGGAAGATCCCAGGCCTGGGCTGTGAGTCTGGCTGGAAGAGGAAAGTTGACTGTTATGAACCAATTGAATAGCATCTGCAGGGAAAAGGTGATGTGCGTGTGTTCAGGAGGAATGCCACAGCCCAGCATGCCTTCTTTGGAACAGTGGGTCTGAAAGGAAGAGCTGCTTACACTCCAGGACTGCCAGCCTTCACCAGCCCTCACTCAGGTCCTGGCTGCTGGAGACCCCATAGAGGATGGCAAGCTCCATTCTCCCTCTACTCCTTTCTTATGGCCAAAGCCCTGTCTTTGGATAACTTTAGTCAACTGAGTGTGTAATTCAAAAGCAAAGACACAGCTCAGTGGGTAAAATGCTCGCCATGCAAGCCTGGGGATCCAAGTTTGATCCCCAGCATCCACATATAAAACCTGATGTGGCGGTTCACACTGGTAATCCCAGCAGTGGAGGGCCAGGGGTCAGCAGATTCCTGGGGTTTGCTAGACAACCAGCCTGGCCTAATCATTGAGCCCCAGGACTCAGAGAGAGACCTTGTCTCAGAAAATAGGTAGATGACTCCTGAGGAACCACCTCCAAGATTGACCTCTGACCTCCACATGTACACACACACACCCAAATACAATTTAAAATGCATAATAATTTTATAAAGAGCAGAGCTGGGTGTGGTGGCATACACCTTTGATCCCAGCAGGAGAATGGCTCAACAATTAACAGCACCAGCTGCTTTTCTAGAGGATCTAGGTTCAGTTCCAATTCTAGCACCCACATGATGACTCATGACCATCTATAACTTCAGTTCCAGGGGATCTGATGCTTTTTTCTGGCCTCCGTGGGAACCATGGCATATATATGACATAGACATGTGTGCAGGCAAAACACCTATACACACAAAATAAAATTTAAAAAAATTTTAAATGTGGTCCCAGCCAGGTATACTGGCTCATACCTTTAATCCCAGTACATGGGAGGCAGAGGAGGCCAACCTGGTCTATGTAGTGAGTTCCAGGCCAGCCAGAGCTACACAAAGAAACCTCATCTTGGAAACACAAACAGCAAACGTGTGCGTGTGCGCGTGCGCGCGTGTGTGTGTGTGTGTGTGTGTGTGTGTGTGTGTGTGCGCGTGTGCGTGTGCGTGTGCGTGTGCGTGTGCGTGTGCGTGTGTGTGTGTGTGTGTGTGAGAGTGAGCAAACAGCCGGGTGGGGTGGCCCAGCACTTGGAAGCCCGTCTGGAGGTTCTGTAGTCTGGAGTGACTATAGCTGCTCGTATCCCTGATCAAAGGTTGGCCCCCACCTGTGTGAGGAAGGGACACACATACAGGATGGGACCACCTGCCTAGCCAGTGAGATCGGAGTCAACTCAGGTGATCAATGGGGGGACAGATGTCACAGCCAGTTGCCCTCACATCTGTGGCTTAGCTCTAGGGAAGCTGAGGCATGAAAATTGTGAAATCGAGGCCAACCAGGTCCGGAGACTTTCTCAAAGGAAACAAAAAGTGAAGGAGTATTGACAGTTTAAGTAGACATTTGGATGTAAATAACGATTCGTGTTTTTTTTTTTTTTTTTTTTTTTTTTTTTTTTTTTTTTTTTTTTTTTTT